CATTACAATCCCACAACATACATAAGAAATTAAAATCACAACTTCCTTTATCTCTAGAGAAAATCCGCAAAGAAGAGAAGAAGAAGCGACTTCCCACACCACTAGCTTGAAGTTCCAACTCTGGAGCTCAGATTCTTCACCACCTCTACTAGAATCAATTGAGAAAATAGTAGAAAAGGAATGGTTCAAGTGAGAAGGAAGAAGAGGAAAGGGAGAAGGAGGAGATAATCTCTCTCTAACTTCTCTTTATAGCTTTTGGAACTGAGTTATGAGTCTCTTGAAAAAAAAATTTATTTTATAGCTTCTTGAACCGCCTTTTCTTATCTATGATCCAGCCTTCTAGAGATTAACATAGTCTCAAGGTCTTTCAACCCCAAAGCTCTTAACAACGTCTGCTAAATTAAACAACAAGGTTATGAACTGATAGTGTTATACCTACGAAAGTAGATTAATCCCGCTAATAACTTAACTTTTTATAATATTAAAATATACATTATTAAGAATAAAAATAATATAATACATGGCATATATATATATATATATATAATTCGAAAGTTATATATCTCATTATGTGGATATTGTATTGTGGTTTTCTAAGAGTCCAAATTTATTGAAAACCCTTCTTGGAAAGTTGACCCTTGAAGTGAATATTGTATTGTTTCTCAGATAGGACTTTGTTGGTATCGTGTGTGGGCAAGGTCGAGGCACACATGTATGAAACGACCATAGTATTAGGGTCAAGTCGAGCTATATACTGATTACAAGTGACCAACCGAGTAAAGTATGAAGTTGAAAACTTAATTCTTAATCGAGTATTGTAAGGTTGTAGTATTTGGAGGATAGCTGGTGAGTTAATCCCATAGGAGGCTTGGTTAAGCTAGCTGATACTATGGTAGGCCTAAACCCAATTTTTTTATCCTAACAGCAATATTATACTTTCTAGTTTAAGTGGCGACATCTAAGAAATCAATTTGCTGTATTATGGATTTTTATCCAATTTGAATAACATATATACAACATGTACAACACAATTCCATCATCAAAATAACATGCACCAAGAATCCATAAAGAATTAACTCAATCTCTCTCATGCACTACTTCAAAGCTAGTTTTTTAAGAATTTGTAAATACTCACTTAATTGATATTCATGAAGCAAGTCTGAGATGGATATAAAGTTTCATCCAATACTCAATGAAACTCAAGACGAGGAGTTAATTTTTGTTTTTGACTGTTATCGTCATTATCCTAATACTAACATTATTCTAACACAAAAGGTTATTTAGTGTTATATATTTTAATGTATGTAAAATTGTTTAATAAGATGCATTTAATATTTATTTCACTTAATTATATCTTTATTTTTTTATTATTTTAATTGTGTGATTTTGATCCTTAAAATTTTAATTGATCAATTTTAATAACACAATTGTGTTATTTTAGTCTCCAAAATTTAATTAAGTAATTTTATCTCTCAAGTATCGTAATTATATGATTTTAGTTACTCAAATATCGTAATTAATTATACAATTTTTAACTCATTTAAGTTATATTTATTATAATTTTTATTCTTCGTGTATTAAATGACATATATTTGTTATTACTAAAATATGTAACTTAAATATATGTAAAATATTATATAATTGTGATACTTGAGAGATAAATTATACAATTGTAGTACTTTAACAATTAAAATTATTAAATTAAAAATTGAGAGGTCAAAGTTGCACAACTACAATATTCAAGGAACTAAAATTAAGAAAACTAAAATTTAAATTATACAACTATTATACTTTAGGAAATGAAAATGTAATTAAGAAAATTTATTTTTACATATGCATGTTTGTAAATAAAACTAGAAAACTTTAATAAATTAGATAGTGCATTAAATAAGTTCTATATTTTTAATGTAATGTTTTTCTTCCTAATATTTATTTGTTCTATTTTGTTTGACATTTTAGTGATTTTTATTTGTTTTAATTTGATTGTCGTTTTTATAAAATTTTAAATATTAAATAAAATCAAATGAAATGAGAAACAAGTTATTAGTATAAATAGTATTAATTTCTCATTCTTTAAATAAGATATCAAGTTCGATTTATGTATATAAAAAATAGTTGGAAATAGAAATTACACAAAAAAGTGATTAACAAAATTTCATCATATATATTAAAAATTAATAAAGTCAATAAATATTTCACACCAATAATAAATTTATTAAAAAAAATTCTTGCACAAATTTTTTTTTCAACTAACTAAGTGTCTTAAATATTTAGTTATAATCTAAATTTTTTAACAGAATTTCCATGTTAATTTTACGTTAATATTTATTCATAATTTTTATTAAAGACCTTAACTTGTAAAGTCTACTAAAATTTTAGTATGAATATTAGGGATTATATCTCTAACACTTTTCATTATTAACTAAAGTTTATAATAAAAAAATCCAAATTTTGAGTTCTATATTCATTTAACGAGTCACACCAAATTTAGTAATAGAATCAATTAAAATTTATTATTTCAATAAACAATAGGGAGTACACATTCTAAATATTTATTATATGTAACTAAAATTTATAATAAATTATATATTAAATTAATTCTTATATATTAAACATGAACTTCTATTTTGCATGAAAGTGATTTTAAGGATTTTTCTTAAACGAGAAGATTGGTAGAATTTTTTTAACTTCTTATCTAATTTAATTTTTATATTCAATAATTATTTATAAATTAAATATTAATATTTTAAAATACATTATCAATAAATAAAATATTTTTTTACAATACAAATTATTTATCATAAATCTAAAATATAATTCATATGTTTAAAAATATCTATTTATACAAATTTTAAGTATGATTTATATATTTAAACATAATATTTATCACGAAAATCTCATGTTTTAAATAATATTTAAGTCACAACAATTTAATAATCATTGACTTTATAAAATTATTAAAAAAATAGATTGTTAATTAAAATCATTTTATAAATAAACATATGTTAATCATTCTCAAAAATCACCATAACTAATTATGCATTGTACATGCTAAAATACTAGTAATTATTATGTTTTAATATATAATTTATATTTAAAATTATATAAATAAATATTTTAAACACATAAATTATATTTTAGATTTATGAAAAATAATTTATATTGTAGTATAATATTATTTTTATGCATTGATAATTATTTTAAAATTTTAAAAATATTAAAATTGAATTGAAAGATAATTATAATAAATAAAAATCAAATTAGATAAGAATATATTAATTATTTTTTTAAAATTAAGAATATCCTGATAGGTAAAGACTAATTTATTTGTACATAAATTGTTGCAGTGAATTTTATTTCTTTAGATAAGGTTTTTTTTCTATATATATGACTAGATAATTGAATTTCTTTGGTACGTTTAAGGATCTAACTACTCATTTTATTTTCTATTATAAGAAAAAAATTATTCTTAAATATAAGTAAATTTTATCAACTTTTATCTCCTTTGATGATATTTTTTCTAAAATTTCTCTTATTAATTTAATGCATCATTTTTTAGTTGCACTACTTCTTTTTTATATATATAATGAAGATAGTTTAAAAAAAATATTATGAGATTAATAAAATTTAATACAGATCATTAACTTCTTTAAGATTAAAATACTTTTTTAGTTTTTATAATTTTACTTACTTTACTTTTTAGTTCTTATAGTTTAAAATAGACATTTTTAATCCCTTTATTTACCTCTTTCAATCATTTTAGTTATTATAGTTTAAGATAGATCTTTTTAATCCCTATACTTGCAAATTTTTAATTTTTTAGTCTCTGTCATTAATTTTTATAATGTTGTCTCTTTCGTGTTGACATGACAGAGATATTAATTCAACTTTGTGTGCTTGATGTTGATTTTATATATTTTATTGGAGTTACTCTAAATTAGGTACTTCACCTACAACATCCATTGTTGAAACATGTTTTTTTACCCTCTTAAAATTGAAAACTTCTATTATGTCAACAAAAAATAAATAACTACAAAAAAAATTAACCATAGAGACTAAAATGATTAAAAACCTCCAAATATATGAACTAAAAATATTTATCTTAAACTATAGAAATTGTAAAAGATTGAAAAAGATAAGCATTATAATATCCCTCAAATTTGACATCTCAGCGGCTCTATTTCACGATACTTTACAAAACTATTTATTGGTTAAAACATTTTACCACCAGTCATAACCATATATGAATAGTTCTTTTTTATATGTTTGACTATCTTTAGGATTAATGATTGTTCCCACAAATTGACTTAAGACTTTTTACTGTATTTTATCTCCACTCACACACTTTTTGAAATTTTTTCTAGAAAATCATCCATCCCTAAATTGCTCAAAGTTAAACACATTTAATTATGAAGTTCTTTTATAATAAGTTATTGAAAAATAGATGTATTTTATTGATATAAGTAGTACAAATTAATTCTTTTAATTCATTCTCAATTGTATAATATCACATTTGTACAAATTAATTCCTTTAAGTCATTTTCAATTGTATAATCTCACACTTGATACAAATATAAAAATTAAATATATCTATTTTAAATTATTTAGACTAAAAAATAAAATAATAAAAAATATTTTAACCTTTCTATGCATAAAATCATTTTTTTTCTTCTTACAATAAAGTACAAAAGAATATTTATTAAACTCTTAAAAAACACTATATGTAATCTCTTGAATAAGAAAAATATTAATTAACTCATTAATAGCAATAAAAAATTTAAGTTATTTAACATTAATTAGTAATGACATTTAAGTTTTATTTACATTACCAATAGAATTAATGAAAGTATTAATAATTCAAGGAATAATCCAATACAATAAATACATATTTCATCAAATAGTACTATTTCTATTACTGTAATAAATTATGCCAGCATTTAACACTTTATATTTATCTCTATTTCCATGAATTGTAGTCATAGACTTTTAAAAAAAATAATCAGAGCGTGCAACATGAGAATGGGTCCTTAAAACAACATCATTTTCACTCTTCAAAAAAATTAAAAAAGAAAATCAAGAAAAAACCTTCGCCATTTTCGCTCCTTAAAGAACATCATCAAGAACAGCAAACGTGGTTGTCAATGGCCGTCAACATGTCCAACAAACCACCTCACACCAAAGACTTTTTTCCCTCTCCAGCTCTCTCTCTTAGCCTTGTAAGTATATTAACCAATCAACTCCTTATTATTCACTACTACTCTTTCTTAATTATATCATATATGTACCACAATATACTATATACTATATACTATGTATACTATCAATAAACATGCTTCTTTTTTATTCCTTTTGGTTTTAGTTTGTCTTTGTTATGATTGAATTCTGTGTTTCTTATTCTTTTTTATTGGGTATCGAAGGCTGGAATTTTCCGGCATGCTGAGGCGGCGGCGGAGACGTCCGCCATGGAGGTGGTCGGCGATGAGCTCCGGCGAGAGGGCACTGTTGAGTTTAGCAGCGACAACTCAGCACCGGTGAGATCCAGGTCAGAAGAAGATTTTGATGGAGAAGGTGTTCATGAGATTGAAGATAACGACAAAGACGACAAAGATGATGATAAGAGAAGAAAGAAGAAGAGGAAGAAGTTTAACAGACACACTCCTGAACAGATCAGAGAAATGGAGGCGTACGTAAACTCTCTCTATTTGCCATATCTACGTATTAATTTGGTATTCAATTATGGGTGTGACTTGTGAGGGTGAGCATGATAACTTTCTTTCACTTTTTCTTTTTAAAATGCAGCTTTTCTTATTAATTATAACTTTTTTTTTTGCTTCAATCAAAGCGACCAAGACTGAGTCTATAACTTGTGAGATGATTTTATGTATGGACACACCTCGGTGAAATAGGTGTTAACTAATTAGTACTAATTTGTGGTGATATATATAAACCAACGAAATGGTTTTTTTCCAAAGTTAAATAATTTGCATGCCGAATTATAAGTGGGGTTTAAAGCATTTATATAACTTGTATGAATGCCGTACTACTGGCAATTGTCATAGGAAAAATTTACGATCAATATCATATGTAAGAAGATTAAAGCTAAAGCTTAAAATTTTTAACTGCTCTTGCTTTGTCGGTTAATTAGTTTGTTATCTTATGCCAATTAATACAAAGCACTTTGCCCTCTCTTTCGCTTGATTACTTTATGTTATTTAAGGATGTTTGTTGCATTGCATCATTAAACTCCATTTGTGGTTGGATCACTCATTCTGAGATGAAGCTTGTAGTGGAAGATGAAACAGCAAAAAAGCTGATGACTGACATGAATAATGTACTATGGTAGGCTTTTCAAGGAATCACCGCATCCTGATGAAAATCAGAGGCAACAACTCAGCAAGCAACTTGGCCTTTCTTCGAGGCAAGTTAAGTTTTGGTTCCAAAATCGTCGAACACAAATCAAGGTATCTAGATTTATTTCCCTAATTATTAGCCCTGCAAAATAAATTATAAATAAACATTGATTTCTGCTGGCACTTGGCAATTTAGAAAATATATATTCAACACTGTTGTTGCCTTTTGCAGACAATACAAGAGCGCCATGAAAATTCATTATTGAAGACGGAATTAGAGAGCCTAAGGGCAGAAAATAAGTCCATGCGGGAGACCATAAACAACTCTTCCTGCCCCAATTGTAGCACCGTAACGGCTAACCTACATGGCTCCATGTCCACAGAAAAACATCTTCTCATCGAAAATGCCAAACTCAAAATTGAGGTAAATATCCTTTTGATGCATTATTTTCAACATTTTTTTTATTATTAGTTAATGTTTATTGAGAATCACCTGATTTTGTGAGTCTCACTTCATATTTAATGAAACTCACTTGTATTATAATATGGATTTTGATAAATCTTAAGATAAAACTTATACTCAATACCATAGATGTTGTTAAGAATTTCAGTAATACACATAATAAATAATTACATTATATATCAATACGTATTATAGATATATATAAATCCAATCATAATTGGATAAAAGTACTATAATAGTGTATTTAAATTTTTTTCCTAAATTTTAATTGTATCAGAAAGTGTGTTACTACTTGCTATATAGAACTAAATGTAAATACAAGGAAAATGGAGATTAAAAAAATAAGAGTATATTTAATAGAGTTGTGTGTGTACACTATGACTATAATTAATTGATCCTTTTAGGTAGAGAAGCTGAGAACAGCATTAGGGAAATACTCACCAAGGACAACGTCTCCTTCATCTTCTGCTGGCCATGACGAGGAAGAGAATAGAAGCTCTTTGGATTTCTATAACGGAATTTTCGGGCTGGAGAAATCAAGGATAATGGATACAGTAAACCGAGCAACGGAAGAACTCATAAAGATGGCAAACATGGGGGAACCATTATGGCTTCGTAGCGTTGAGACAAGTCGCGAAATACTCAACTACGATGAATATGTGAAGGAGTTCGAAGTTGAAAATTCTTGCAGTGAAAGGCCAAACACATTTATCGAAGCCTCAAGAGAATCCGAGGTTGTTTTTGCGGATCTCTCACGACTTGTCCAATGTTTTCTTGATGTGGTAAGAGTAAAACACGTTCAAGTGTGTATAAATTATGTCTCATATATAGGTTAAAATCTTGCACCACATGATGATTGCTTCAAATATAAATTTTATTCTCTTATTATATATCTAAGGGGGTGACAATTTTTAACTTGGTTCTTGCAGAATCAATGGAAGGAGATGTTTCCGTGCTTAATATCAAAGGCAGCAACTGTTGATGTTATATGCAATGGAGAAGGCTCAAACAGGAACGGTGCAGTGCAATTGGTAAGGGGAAGATGAATATTACGCTGTGTTAGGTAGTCACACTACTACATATACGTACAAAAGAAATGTCTCGTTTATCTTTAACCACATATTCATATTTTGGCCTCGTGTTAGAACGTGGATCTTTTTTATTCATTCAGGTGGTCCAACCAACCTTGACAATTAAGCTCGACAAAAAGATGTCATTTTCTCTTTAAAGTGACATTACTGATACAGAAGTTTAAGATAAAAAACAAAAATACTTCACTGCATTTGGATTATGATAATAATCTTGCTTAAAAGAAATTAAGGTTTTATTATAACCCTGCATTACTCTTCCTTCGGGAAATGTGGAAATGTAAGTGCATTGATGCCTTTTTCCGTGCCTTTAAACATAGCCTTTTATTTGTATCTCAGAAAGTGTTGATAAGGACTCAAAAAAGCTTAAAAGAATACATAGAAAAGATCGAACATCATTTACCAACTCTTGGCACTTTCCCCACACTTCCCAATGCCGGATCCAACGTACCCAGCTGGAATTCTCTCTCTCTCCATCTCTTTATCTCTAGAAAAAAATCTTCATCTCCCAGCAGGCATATCCTGCCACTGCATTGGTTGTAGAATTATGCTTTGTTCCCTATTCATTACATTAAGATAGCAAGACAAATTCCATAAAATAAAAAAAATAGCAAGACAAACATGACACTGTTCAAGTCCGTAATTAGATGTGGACAATGAGACTTTCTCCATCAAAGTACACACAAGGCATGAGCTTTTGTATGACATGAAAAGTCTCAAGTAATCTCTAACCATGAGCTGTGTAATTATTGCTGCAGATGTTTGCTGAGCTGCAAATGCTCACTCCTATGGTGCCCACAAGAGAAGTGTATTTTGTGAGGTGCTGCAAACAGTTGAGTGCTGAAAAGTGGGCAATTATTGATGTATCCATAGACAAGGTAGAAGACAACATTGATGCATTCCTGGTGAAATGTAGAAAACGCCCATCTGGTTGTATTATTGAGGATAAGTCAAATGGCCATTGCAAGGTATGAACAAAAGTTTTTAACATTTTGTGTGTATTCCAGTCTCTCTCTCTCTATATATGATAAAAACTTTATTTTATGTAATTAGTGTCGCTATTTAATTCGAATTAAAATTGTATTTGATAACGTAAATTTTACATTTAATGCATATCTCTTCCGTACCTTCCTTAAGTTTTGCATAAATATATATTGATATTGCTTTTGGTTTTAGGTGATATGGGTGGAGCACATTGAGTGCCAAAAGAGCTCAATTCACGCATTGTATCGAGCCATTGTCAACAGCGGTCTAGCTTTTGGGGCAAGGCACTGGATGGCAACACTACAAGTTCAATGCGAACGTCTAGTTTTTTACATGGCAACAAATGTTCCCATGAAGGATTCAACTGGTGAGCAATGAATTCCAATCCAAGGTATCTGTTGGAGGCTTTGATGAGTTAAAGTCCTCTTATATATGATTTATGATGACATGCTAGGTGTTGCCACGATGGCTGGGAGGAAAAGCATTTTGAAGTTGGCACAAAGAATGACGTGGAGTTTCTGCCATGCAGTTGGTGCATCAAGTTTCCATACATGGACCAAGGTCACAAGTAAAACAGGAGAAGATATAAGAATTAGCTCTAGAAAGAACTTGAATGACCCTGGTGAACCTCTTGGGGTTATCCTATCAGCCGTTACTTCTGTGTGGCTTCCTGTTTCTCCCAATGTTCTGTTTGATTTCTTGAGAGATGAAGCTCATCGAAGTAAGGTACAACTCTTCTGCATCCCTTTGTTTAATTAATGCTACTTTAGCTATAAGCATATTGGAAGATACAAAGTTGCTAAGTCCCACCAAAGTGGATCCACCACCTTGTGTCATCTATTCTACAGATACATCTCGTCCCTATAGAATTTAAAGAATCTATAAAAAGTTGGTCCAATAATAAATAAGGCCTATTGTAAATTTTGAGAGAGATTTTTTTAAATGCAAAATATATGTAATGTCTTTTTTTTAATATATGAGGCCTTTTTTGTCGATATAAAAACTTTTTTACTATATAAAAATTAATAGGAAATAATCTTTGTTGATAGATCTAATTAAAACTTGAACCCTTTACAATCATGAATCTATATATGGCATCTCTTTAGCCAGTTTGGTGAGCACTTATAGCGAATGGGGACAATGTGTTAACTGTTGACAATTATATTCGTGACAGTGGGATAGCAAGTCCAGTGGTGGGTCAGTGAAGTCCATTGCTAATTTAGCTAAAGGAAAAGACCGAGGCAATGTTGTAAATATACAAGTAAGTTGTTCTACTAACTCCCTTTTTTGAATGTTTGAATAGTCAAAACTCAATCAATTTGTGTGTAAAATGCATTTAAAACATGGTTCTTAGTTAAGTGGCTTATTCTTCTCACTTGGCAGAAAATACAATCAAAAGGGAACAGTGTGTGGATATTGCAAGATAGCTGCACAAGTGCTTATGAGTCAATGGTGGTATATACTCCTGTGGACATTGCTGGTATCAAATCTGTGTTGACAGGATGTGATTCAAGCAATCTTACTGTATTGCCTTCAGGATTCTCAATTGTTCCTGATGGTATTGAGGCAAGGCCATTTGTGATTACATCAAGGCAAGAAGAAAAGTACACAGAAGGAGGGTCTTTACTTACAATGGCATTTCAGATCCTTGCCAACCCTTCTACAACAACCAAGTTGATAGTGGAGTCTGTCGAATCCGCCAATAATCTTATCTCTTGTACGTTAAAAAATATTAGAACTAGTTTACAGTGTGAGGATGATTAGTCCAGATAAAAGGTAATCAGATAGATATACAGGCTTTGATTTGCTGCTACAGTTGTAGGCTTTTTACACCTTTTACAGTTGGGATGAATTTTGTGTTCCTTTGAAATTAGGAGGCAAAATTCATGGATGGACTTTGCTTTACATGGAAAACACATCCGTGAATTTTCATCACCTCTAAATAGAATGTTTTTCTACCCCTTATTATGGATTAGTATCACTTATAATTTACAATAGGAAATAGAATTTGCAGGAATTAAATAAATGTATACCTGCATTTAGAGAAACAAAAAGGTTTTGCAACCTAGAAATCGAGCATTATGTACAAGGTTACAATTTATTAATATTAAGGCCTTCTATATGATGATTTTATTGGCTCATATAGTTTGGTAACTTATTACTTGAAAAAAATGAAACATCATATGAGTTATATTTTATGTTTCACATATTTTAAAAATTAAACAAAACAAGACATATAGGATAATAAGAAAAAAAGAGAGGATATTTTAATTCTACAAACAAAGATGAAAACCGAAGAAAAAGAAATGAGAAAATACGTCCTGAACCAACAATAAATTAACTCCCCCTCTAAAAGAATTTTTTTTAACTGCTAACAATTAGTTTCTGTCTTGCCCTGAAAAATAAGTCTTAAATATGTTTGAGGTATATGTGTAAATATAGTGATTATATTTTAATTCCGGAATTTTTATTTTTATTTTTATTTTTTTTTATCTATGTGGTTACCAGTTTAGTTTCTTATGTAAACCTGGCCTGTCGATAGCAACATGTTTTACGTTCATCACGTTCATGTAAATATAACATTTTTGTTTTCATCTTTGCAAAATATAACATTTTTGTTAGTCCTTATAAATATAAGAATTTTTACTTTTAAGAATTTATAGACTAAATTTTATTTTTAGTCCCTCTATTTATTTTAATATTCAATTTAGTATAATCATTTTTAAATGGTCCAATTTGATCATCTATTTTTTTTAATAAAATTTTTAATGTTTTCTTTCCGTCCAAATTGATATTAATGGTTGTTCAATATTATTCTTTCACCTAATTTTAATAACGTTGTTAGTATTAATTTGGATGGAAAGACAACATTGTACATTTTTAAAAAATTAAAGGATCAAATTGAACCATTTAAAAATAATGAGACTAAATTAAATCTTAAAAATATAGAGAGACTAAAAATATAATTTAACCAAATTCATATTATGAAGGTCTTGCAAAATATAATAACTTTTGTAATACCCCCTATCTCGCATGGATCATAATATATATTGTAATATAAAATTGAAATACCTCAATATAAAAAATATAAAAAAAACTCAAAATTTATACATGTAGAAAGAATATTTTAACATAAACTAAACTTAGCAAAAATAACAAATTACAATGAAAATAGAAATTAAGGGGGGTGTATTGGATTAGGATTTTAAAGGACTTTTTTAGTGAAAAAAAATCCTGCGGATTTTAAAAGACTTTGCAGGATTTTCATGACTTTTAAGATTTTGCAGGATTCTACAAGATTTAAAATCAGGATTTTAATGGATTCTACAAGACTTTTAAATCAGGATTTTAATGGATTCTGTGGGATTTTGTGGAGTTTTGACATTTGATAAGATTTAAAAAAAAATTCATATATTCAAATTTAAAAAGAGTCAAAGATAAAATAATTAAAAAAAACAATAATGTCTAGATAAATAATAATAATAATTCTCCATAATATTCTATCATCTTTTTATAGCATCCACTATCAATTGTAACAATTCATCGGAATCCTCCTTGGT